TTAGCCGATTTTTTTAATATTACGTAGACGTTTGTATGAGACTCAAGCCGTTGAGACAAAAAATAATGATAAACATCAGCATTTTTTAATAAAAAAATGCATTGGACAAATGATAGTGAGTTAGTGGCTTAATAGTGAGAGAAGTTATTGTGAGAAAGCACAGGCTATATTTTTATTTACCTTTAATTTGGTGCAGAAATTATTCAGTAATATTAAGTAAAATACCAAATTATTGGTACAGAGCTTTTTAATTTAATTGGTACAGGACTTACGTGCCACGAAATCGGTGTTGTCTGATTTCCTAACATGGAATTTCGACTTTTATAACAAACTACCTACACTTCTCATACTTTCTTATAGTTCTTCATATCTGAAGAACGAACAGGTGTTTTTATTGAATAAATTCTATAAAAACTCAGAGAGTCTAATAAAACTAGCTGCAAAAATAAATGTAAAACATTTCGAAACGCCTTCTAAAATCGATAAATGACACAGGTAAAAACCTGTAATGCTCCGCGTTGTTAGCATAAATATTCTGAGTTTAACGGTTGTTCATTTCAAACATCTTGGCAGTTGACAGCGTGTTGACGTATTTAAAATTTTCATTCACATTTTTCATGTTGTTTAAAACCGTCCGTTTTTTCTGACCGTTGTACTAGAGACAAGTGGGGTACTTTTAAAATCGTGATTGTTGTTTCTTGTGTTAAGTATTTTTGTTATTGACATTATTAGTGAGCACTTCAAGATGGACAGGCTAGAATATATGAGAATGCTCTTGCAAAACAAGAGGCCTAACCTAGGGGCCAACCTCAAGCAAAAAATTGAGGATAGAAAAGAAGCATTTGCTTTAGACCGAAAAACAAAAAAGGATTTAAGAGATATTGGCAGACGAAACATAGATGTGAACATGAGTCCGTATATTACGCCAGCAAGTAAAAACGTAAAATTGCCTGTTATCAAACCCAGTCTGAATAACGATACAGTTAATAAACGACTGGAAATGTTGGCTAAGTGGAAAGCTGACAAAGCCAAAGCCAAAGAACAATCCACTAGGTCTAAGCCTATTTTTAAAGTGTCTACGGTAGTATCAGATCCCTCAACTAAATTAGAGAACGCAAACAGATTTATAAAGGGAAAGCTCATTGTTTCTACAACACAGAAATCAAAATTTGCTCCAGATAATTATAAATTTAAAGCCCCAAGCACGGTTAAAAACCTAGTTACGACTTTAGGTGACAAAACTGGCAGCAAGTCGGGTACTGTTCCTAAGAAGGTAAGACCTCATTTATGTCTCGTAAACACAAAACTTCTAGTTGCGTTGTGCTGAGTGTACGAATTTATTTATAATCTATCGCAATGACGAGTACACATAGTTATCCAAAGGAAAACCTATCCCCAAAAGTTGCAGAGTTTCGAAATCCGAATTAAAAATTGTGTGTAGTGCCTAAAAACTGACCAAAGATAAATTTCATTCAAGCTTCTTGCACGAATTCCATTCGAACTTCGAAGTCGTAAAATTAGAAGCCAGTTTTCTTCAAAATTGTTCCATTACTTTTCATTACTGCTTCTTGATTTCAACATATTGTAAGTACTATAAAAATGCTTTAATCTTGCATCTTATTTTTTATCATGGTTTTAGCTTTGTTTTAATTTATTCGTATATGCATACATGCATGCAACTGCCTGATAATTTAAATTAGAAATAATTGTAATAGACAAAGATCATTAACCAAGATACACCTTTAAACAATTCGAAAAAAAATAATTAAATACAAATTTATGGAGCTGCAATGGCGCATTCACAATTTTGTGAATAACCGTTTAGAAAATTATCAAAACATAGTTTATTATTATTACATTTTGATATTTTTTAAATTGTTTAATCCAGATTGAATAGATTTTTGGTTTGTATTTAAAAACACAAGATTGAAGACAAATTCTTTAAATATAATGCCAAAGCAAAACTGGGTAGGTCTTCACTATGAGTTCTTATTAGAAATAAATAGGTATACGTATTCAAATGCTAAAAAAAATTATTTTCTCATGTTGATCAGAAACAAAATTCGAATCGATGGTAATAACAATGGCCAACTTTGAAAACTTTTTTTTTTAATTTTCGTTTATCTGCAAACAAAATTAATCCTGGGAAGAAAGTATTAATATATCGGACTACTTACATAAGGATAACAAATAGAGAGGAACCAGAATTTGTTTTAATAAATCTCAATTAATTAAGAATCTCCTTTAATGTCTTTTTAATTTCCGTGAAATAATTTTTACTGGAATGCAAAAATCGATACACCTGCAGTAAGTGTGATTTGCAACTGCCCCATCTACATATACACTTTGTCAAATACTTGTTAATACTTTGTTAAATTAAAGCTTGAATTTAAAGTAATAAATAAGAAGAATACAAATTGAAGCAAAACTATGAGTTACGTTTTTCTAAATTTCGTAATATACCGTTTTCAATAACCTTTTTTGTTTCAGTTATCATTTACTATCATTATAATTTTTTTAGTACTGCCAGAAATGCCAGAAAAAGCTATTAAAACGACTTCTTGAAATTCTGATGTCAAACTTTTTATGGGTTTGTACTTGATTATAATAACAATTCAGGAAAATGACCGTTTTCTATCTTCAATAGATTTATGACCAACGATATAAATTCTTCAGCGGAACTGAATTCGAGTGTAACGAACTTCCAATGTGCGCAACATATTTGAAAAACTGCAGAAATTATCAAGACAAAACTAAAAAAAAAAACTAAATTTAGAGACTAAAGGCGAAGTCATAAAATTATCTGATAAATTCACATAATAGTTAATTAACTAACGTGTAAAAATATCACAGCTATTAATATATTTGAAAAATAATAATATATCTAATGAGCTTTTCAATTAACATGTTCCCTTCGGATTCGTAATAAACTGATTCGGCTCTTTATTTTGCAAATGTAAAATTTCAAAAATTATCGAAATATTCATGGTTTTCCTTATTGCTTAAAAAAGCAATTTAAGGGAATTTATTACAAGACGACGAAAATTAAGAAAGACATTAGACAAACGTTTAGAAACGCTGTTGTTATTTTCTTCCGTAAATTAAAATAATGGAAAAAATTGTTAAACTAGTTTTTTGTGGATTTCATTTTAACATTGGTAAATGTCATGTAAGATATTAAAAATATGAAAGAAAGAACACAAAGTTTACATTTTTGCAGGTTTCAAGCTTCAAATTTAGCTGTTGAACAAAAGTGATCACCTTCGATCAACCTTCGAACCATCAAGCAAATCGAATTAAATTGTACTTTAATACCGAATACCCAAAACATTCTGATGTAATTAGATACTCAAGACCAAAATGCAAGATGATGCCTTTCAGGAAAGAATAATGTTTTAATTGAAATGAGATTAAAACCATACGCAAATCGTATGATCTATTTTGACGTAAAATGCAATGCTCCCTTTAAAGAAGCGCACATAAGGAGGTGAAAACGGCATTATGAGCCAGTCTATATGAAAACAAGAGATTTTTAAATTCTGTTTGTTTTAGCAAAAATTGTATTCAACAATATTTTTAAAGCACAGCTCAATACAAAAATTATTTTAAAAAGGAGCACAGCAAAAAGTGAAAAAAAAACTTACATGAGAAATTCGAAAATCATAATTAATTGTGGCAATTCATTCACAAAGGCACTTCAACAACGGGTATAATGAAACTCGACGAAATAAAAACGTTTAAAACTTCCGGAAACCGACTGAATATTTTACAGTTTACTGATGATTAC